GTTGTCTGTCGTCGTCGTTAACTTTTCACATTTTCATCTTCTTCTCAAGAACCACTGGGCCAATTTCAACCAAACTTGCAACAAAGTATCCTTGGGTAAAGGGGATTCAAGTTTGTTCAAATGAAGGGCGACGCCTTCTTCCAAGGGGAGATAATTATGAATTCGTGAAAAATTAATGGCAACATTTAAAAATCTTCTTCTCAAGAACCACTGGGCTTGAAAATATGAAACTTATATGGAAGCATCCTCAGGTAGTGTAGATTCAAGTTTGTTCAAATCATGACCCCCGGGGGTAGGGTGGGGCCACAATGGGAGATCAAAGTTTTACATTTGAATATACAGGAAAAATCTTTAAAAATCTTCTTCTCAAGAACAGTAAAGCCATGATTGGTCATATTTATGTGGAAGCATTCTTAGGTAGTGTAGATTCAAGTTTGTTCAAATCATGACCCCTGGGGGTAGGGTGGGCCCACAATGGGAGATCAAAGTTTTACATAGGAATATACAGGGAAAATCTTTAAAAATCTTCTTCTCAAGAACAGTAAAGCCATGATTGGTCATATTTATATGGAAGCATTCTTTGGTAGTGTAGATTCAAGTTTGTTCAAATCATGACCCCCGGGGGTAGGGTGGGGCCACAATGGGCGATCAAAGTTTTACATAGGAATATACAGGAAAAATCTTAAAAAATCTTCTTCTCAAGAACAGTAAAGCCATGATTGGTCATATTTATATGGAAGCATTCTTAGGTAGTGTAGATTCAAGTTTGTTCAAATCATGACCCCCGGGGGTAGGGTGGGCCCACAATGGGAGATCAAAGTTTTACATAAGAATATACAGGGAAAATCTTTAAAAATCTTCTTCTCAAGAACAGTAAAGCCATGATTGGTCATATTTATATGGAAGCATCCTCAGGTAGTGTAGATTCAAGTTTATTCAAATCATGACCCCTGGGGGTAGGGTGGGGCCACAATGGGAGATCAAAGTTTTACATAGGAATATACAGGAAAAATCTTAAAAAATCTTCTTCTCAAGAACAGTAAAGCCATGATTGGTCATATTTATATGGAAGCATTCTTAGGTAGTGTAGATTCAAGTTTGTTCAAATCATGACCCCCGGGGGTAGGGTGGGCCCACAATGGGAGATCAAAGTTTTACATAGGAATATACATGGAAAATCTTTAAAAATCTTCTTCTCAAGAACAGTAAAGCCATGATTGGTCATATTTATGTGGAAGCATTCTTAGGTAGTGTAGATTCAAGTTTGTTCAAATCATGACCCCCGGGGGTAGGGTGGGGCCACAATGGGAGATCAAAGTTTTACATAGGAATATACAGGGAAAATCTTTAAAAATCTTCTTCTCAAGAACAGTAAAGCCATGATTGGTCATATTTATATGGAAGCATCCTCAGGTAGTGTAGATTCAAGTTTGTTCAATCATGACCCCCTGGGGTAGGGTAGGGCGACAATGGGCTATCCAAGTTTTACATAGAAATACATAGGAAAAAATCTTTAAAAATTTTCGTTTCAAGAACAGCAAAGCACAATTAGTCATATTGAAATGGAAGCATCCTCAGGTAATGTAGATTCAAATTTTGTTCAAATTATGAACCCCAGGAGAACAGAGGGGCCATAACAGGAGATCATAGTCAAACAAAGGAATACAAATGATATATCAATTAAAATTGTCTTCTTAAGAACAGCATAGCCATTATTTGTCATATTAATTCAAAAGCATCCCTATGAAGTATAAATTCAAATTAGTTCAAATCAGCACCCTCCACCCCCACCCCCTCGAACCGCTTTTATATCACAACTTTTCAAGACTGATCTGCTTTCTGCTTTTTCCTAGCCAGAGTGCTCAGGTGAGCGATGTAGCCCCTGGGCCTCTTATTTTGTTTGTATCATCTGCCCTTAAAAATTGATGTCCCGTGTCGCGGTAGGCGTTGGCACGATTAAGAACCCTCAATACTCAATTGCCCTGAGTGCTGAATATAGGTCTACATTTGAAGCCTTTCACCGGTATATGGTGTTGTCTCTATATGAGTGAAAAATTCTCGAGCGAGACGTAAACAACATACAATCAACCAATCCTTTAATCGAAATCCAAAATTTGTTATAACAGAATAAATTCGTTTAAATAAGTTTCTAAATTTGTTATCACGCATTAAATCTGTTAAACAAATTCGACAATTTGTTATAACGAATCATAAATATTTTTCTATAGGCCCTAAATGTCAAATTCGATTAAACGAATTTAATTCGTTATAACAAATTTAAGAATTCGTTTAAAAGAATATAATTCGTTATACAAATTTTGGAATTCGATTAAACGGATATAATCTGTTATAATAAATCTGTCATAACAAATTTAATTCGTACGGAAGCCCATTTAGGACCTATCAAAAAATATTTTTGAACTCGATATAACGAATTGTCGAAAGTGTTATAACGAATTTAATTTGTTATAACAATTTCTTTGAATTCTTTATAACGAATTTAATCTGTTATAACAAAATTATTGAATTCGTGATAAAGAAATCAAAAATTTGTTATAGCAGATTAAATTTGTTATAACAAATTCTAAAACTTGTTATAACGAATTAAATTCGTTAAAACGAATTCCTTAATTTGTTATAACAAATTCAATTCGTTAAAATGAATTCGACAAATCGTTATATCGAATTCATATATATTTTTCTATAGGCAGCGATTGTTGAATTTGATTAAACGAATTATTTCGTTATAACAAATTTTTAGAATTTGTTAAACGAATTTAATTTGTTATTACAAATTTTTGAATTCGTTTAAACGAATTTAATCTGTTATAACAAATTATTGAATTCGTTATAGCAAATTCAATAAATTTGTTATAACAGATTAAATTCGTTATAACGAATTCAATGAAATTGTTATAAAGAATTGAATTCGTTATAACAAATTCGTAATATCGTATTACAAAATATTTTTCGATAGGTCCTAAATGGGCTTCCGTAAATTCGCTATAAGGAATTGAAAAAAAAATCTTATAACGAATTAAATTCATTGTAAAAAATTCGTTATATCGAATTCAAATATATATTTTTGATATTCCTAATTAGGCTTCCGTGTCGGTCTTAAACCTTATAGAATGGAAAAAGTATATGTCCTATCCTCGTTTTGTGTGAAATAGTCTAATTAATATCCACTATAATATACACTGTATACAAATCTATTATTTTGCATCAGCTACCTAGAGGCCAGAAGTACTACCGCTTGTAGGTTCTACTTGTGTGCTAAGTTATATTGAAATTAGACCACAACTGTAGAAGGAGTAGTGTTTGAAAGTATTTCACAGAAATTTCTATTTTTAGTAACCAAGGCGAAACCATTCATCAAAATTTAAAAAAAAATGACATACAGAATTATGTATCTTAGTGAGTCTACTTGTTTTTTCAAGTTATATTGAAATCAGACCAAAACTGTAGGAGGAGTAGCGTTTTGAAAGTATTTCACAGAAATTTCTATTTTTAGTAACGATGGCAACACCGTTCATCGAAATCAAAAACCGATACACAGAATTATGTATCTTAGTATAGTCTACTTGTGTGCCAAGTGATATTGAAATCAGACCAAAACTGTAGGAGGGGTAGTGCTTTGAAAGTATTTCACATAAATTTCTATTTTTAGTAGCTATGGCAACACCGTTCATCGAAATCAAAAACCGATATACAGAATTATGTAGCTTAGTTTCTTAGTATAGTCTACTTGTGTGCCAAATGATATTGAAATCAAACCAAAACTGTAGGAGGAGTAGCGTTTTGAAAGTATTTCACAGAAATTTCTATTTTTTAGCAACCATGGCAAAACCGTTCATCGAAATCAAAAACCGATACACAGAATTATGTATCTTAGTATAGTCTACTTGTGTGCCAAGTTATATTGAAATCAGACCGACTCCATTCAGTTGAAGAAATGTTGGTATTGTTCTTTTCAGGATTAAATGTTTTGGGAATTTTAAAAGTGATTTTGAGTCACATACATGAAACATATAAAAGTTTGGTTGAATGAGGAATATGAGCCATAGTTCATTTTAAAGTTGCAGGAAGATGAAGGATACATCTGAGCACTTTGGCACAAACCTTGAAAATCAAATTTGATTTATTACCTGTATTTATATTTCAAAATATTATAGTAAACAAGAGTTTTTAATGCTACTGTTTTAGAAAAAAATCTGATATTGTAAGAAGACGAAACTTTTCATAGAAAGCACCTATCATCATGATCCAAGTTAGTGAGTTCTCTTAATTGATCACAATTTGTTTTTATTTTTCAGTGAAGTATGGCTAATTTGCTATTGCTTTTCTTGTAATTGCATGTATTTGCTAAATCTAATGATGTATTAATTTTCAGATTATTTGGAAATGTTAAAAGAAGCAGAAGGCAGTTTGGCACTCTAAGCCAGGTCTAAATTGTTGAAAAAAGGAGGAACCTGTGAGTTAAGGGCTTATTCTGAGGTTAAAAAATACTGTTATGTATGAAGTGTTCTCTCACTTCTTCATAAATTACAATCACATGCAACAATTAATATTAGGTTCCATTTATATGTATTTGAATACATATCATGTATTTCATTGATTTGCCAATTTATTTTGTTTCGAACAGTTTTTAAAGAGGAAACTAAGAATGTCCCATCAACATTACGTTTAAAAAATTGCATGTCCCAACTTAACGAAAGACCCAAAAAGTACATATAAAATCATACTTTGCACCTGTTTCACCTTGGTGATTAATATTGCCTGGCCCCTTAATGACGATAATACGTCTACAAAAGGATCGAAATTTTACGCTGTAACTTTTCTTCAAGTATGGTAAAATCTTGAATGTTTAAAATTGAAGAAAGGCATGAGTAAATTGTACTGCAAGACAGGGGACCAAATAAAAGAGTCAAAAATAGAAATTTGAATTTAATTTATCAATTAAACTTTTAAGGAATTACATTACAAAATTTATAAAGCACGATTAAAATAATGGGCACTGAAACATAAAGAAGTACTGTTGCTACAAAAATAGCATATTTTCCTGTGTCACTAGAATTTTCTCCGGTAACAGACATCTCGTTGCCAGTTGTAAGATTCTTGTTGATGTTGGATTTGTTCGCAGATGCGCTTTCAGTCTGTTTTGAAGCTGATGTCTCGTTGACCTTCGGTTCATTTCCAACTAAGTGCAATCCAGAGTCTGATCTAAATCCAGCCTAATAAGGAAAAAGGAATTTTCAGTACAAAATAAAAGTCTGTTACCAGAACACTGCTGAGAAAATTAAAAAGAAACTAGAGGAATTCCTGCAAGATTGTGAGTCAAATAATTATTGGATATTATTCCAATTGTTGGGGAAAAATTGACGCTTTTGCCCAAATGGGTTTAGTCTCTGCACGACTTCATTAACTAAAATATCTTTGATATATATTTATTATATAATATATGGCTTAAAGTGTAACCCACAAATTAAAAATGAGAGGGGAACAAATATAAAGGCGTGTTATTCAGGCAAAATAATAATAATAATAATAATAAACATAAGATAAAATAAAATAAATAGATAAATAAATGAAATGAAATAAAAGAAAAGAAAATGATAATGATAAAAATAAACGAAAAGAATTTTAAGAAAAATACAAATGTATAAATTGATATAAAATTGATTTGGACAGAAATTAAAATAAAACAAAAATGTACGTGTATACATACGACATAAAAGTAACAATCTCTTAAAGTGAATAAACCTGGGACTTCATAGTTATCCAGTGATTCCAGAAAGAGAACATGTTAAATCAAAAAAAAAAAAAAAACAAAAAAAACAACAAAAACAAAACAAAAAAACAACAAAAAAAAAAACAACAAACAAACAAACAAACAAACAAAAAAAAAAAAAAAAAAAAACAGTGAATAAAAAGCTTTACACTTATTACACGTAAACGAAATCTATATACTAGTAGTGTAAAAATTTTTCACAAGGACGGAATCTTACTTTCTTCTGTATTACGTTGCCATCCTGTTCATCCGACTCTGTCGGTTGAGTTGGTGTTATCAGTGTAGCAATAGTTGTAACCCAACGTTCAATATTTGCCGCAAACTGTAAAACAGTTGGTAAGTGCTGGTGAATAAATAACACAATCCAGTTTGGGATTCAACTACAGAAATAAAAGTATTCAATTTTGCACTTCATCCTGAGAAAAAGAACTACGCACGCTATCTCTCGATTCCCACCTACATTTTACACTCATTTAATTCAATACTAATGGCAATTTGGCCGTAAAATCTTTGTTGAAAGCAGCGAACATTTCAATGGTAATTGACTGATAATTTTAATACAAGTGTTAAATAGTTAATTACCCCAAATTCCAGCTCTTTAAATAAGGGGGGTAGACGATATTTTCCATTGAAATTGGGCTTTAAAGCATCACCACATTTTAAAGTATTCTTGGATACGAATAAATGTTACTAAAATCTTTTGTTTTACGCATATAAAATTAAACATATATAATTGATAAAATACAACGTTTAAGTTGTAAACCCCTTCGAAATTGGTGGAAAAAAATAAGCATTTTTGTCGTTTTTTGTCTGTAAACAAACGTTCCACCCCCCCCCCCCTCCCGTGAAACACAAAAAGCTTTGGTATGAATTTGTGTCAAAAGGAATTTTTGTTTCACGGGGGGAAAGATGTTTTAAAAATATTTTTCGTTTTCCGTTGATTTCTATAGTGAAAAACACAAGTTTTACCAAAATTATAGAGTTATCTCTCTTTGTATTCCCAAATAAGTAATGTTTTATGAAAATTCATATAAATATCTACATGTACATAAATATGAAAAATCATTCAAATGTGTTAACTTTTGAAAATTGACTTGGAAGTAGGCGGGAGAACAATACTATCGTTCACAGTTCTTTGAACAGTTACAGCTCTGCTCTCCATCCCAAGTAAGGTCTTCTGCAGAGTGCTTCTCAAAAGAATTGACAGAGAGTTAGACAATATCCAAAGACAAGAACAGGCAGGATTTAGAAAAGGGAAAGGCTTCATTGACCAAATATTCACTCTGAAAAACATTACAGAGCAATCAATTGAATGGAAAACACCACTTTATATAAACTTTATTGATTTCAAAAAGGCCTTTGATAGTATCCATAGAGACACACTTTGAAAAAATTTTAAGAGAATACGGAGTTCCAGAAAAAATCGTAACCATCATCAAGTGCTTCTATACACAGTTTAAATGCTCAGTTATACTCAACAACAAAGAGACAGACTGGTTTTCAGTCAACTCAGGAGTAAGACAGGGATGCATCATATCTTCCATCTTATTCTTGGTTGCCATTCACTGGGTAATGGAGAAAACAACAGGTGACTGTAAACGAGGTAAAACATGGTTCATTTTTTCCACCTTAGAGGACCTCGACTTTGCTCTTCTGTCATCTCGACAAGATCATATGCAAGTAGAATCGCAAAGACTCAGCCATTATGCCAGTCAAATTGGTCTGCAACTCAAGAAACCGAAGCAATGAGGTTCAACACATCTTCCATAAATAAACTAAAGGTGGATGGAAATGAAATTTAACAAGTTGATTAAATTGTCCCCCTTGGGGCAGTAGTTAGTACTGAAGATCCAACTCAAAAAGATATCAAGAACAGACTAGCAAAAGCAAGAACAGCGTTTTACAAATTTAAAACAATCTGGAGATCAAAACAATAAAAACAAAAACAGGAAAGCAAAAGTGAAATTATATAACGGCAACGTGAATACAATACAATACTTTTGTATGGAAGTGAATGTTGGAGGGTTACGAAGGCATATATGAGATCACTGTCTAGTTTCCACCACAGCTGTCTCCGTCAAATCTGTAAAACCTTTTGGCCAATATCGAATGTCGACCTACTGAAAATGACAAAACTCAAAGTCTATCATCAACGAGTTAAAACAAAGGAGATTTAGATGGCTAGCACATGTCCTTAGAATGGAAGGATCAAAAATTCCAAAAGTCGCCCTAAGATGGACACCACCAGGAAAAAGACGAAGGTACCAGGAAATTAACACCAGAAGCAGTAAGGATATGCTTAAGTTAAATGCAAAGAAATATTTAATGTAAAACACTGACGACTGATTACACCAGGAATAGGAATGTCATTGTGCAGTACACAACGAGCAAATAGAAGATTTAAAGCAATTATATACTTTGGTGCTATGATAGATAAAGAGGTTGGGGGAGACATCAATATTAAGAACAGAAGCAAAACGGCTGTTTCAAAGACTATGGAGGATGTGGAACACCATAGGAATAGGAAGGAAAGCAAAAGATCACTCTTTCAAAGGTTTTGTATGACCAGTGCTATTGTATGAATGCGAAACATGGAAGATCACCAAAATAGACGAAAAACACATAGATGCATTCCAGATGAAGTGCCCAAGAAGAATATTAAGAATAAGATGGCAACAACATATAATAATTGCAAGAATTATGGAAAGAGAAGGAATAGATAGCATTAGCTGTGAATTATGTAAGAGAAAATGCGATTGAATAGGGCACATACTAAGAAGAAAAGGAAATAATGACTGCAAGATAGCCTTGGGCAGACCACCTGGAGAAGAATAGTAGAGAGAAATGCTGCTGGTAGGCCTATGTAGAATGCTACCAAAACAGCAACTAGGAACAGAAAGAAATGGAAAGAAAGCGGCACGGCCTTATGCGCTATGGTGTGGAAAGATTTAAGGTTAAGGTAAGGTAACTGAAGCATATTTTGAAAATAGATAAATGTAAATTCTAACCATACATTCGAAGCATATTTAAAAACAAATATATGTACACCCAGGGAAAGTTTAAACTTTGAAGGTTACCAGGCCAATAAGTACTGAAAAACATGACAGCGGTGATTCAATTTTTTGAAAAGTTATAGTAAGATATACATGGCATGGTCAGTCAAATGCAAAAGAATGTTTGACTACAACAGTTACAATAAATTTGATAATAACCCTAAAATATTTTTAGTCTAAAAGCTTTACGCATACATGTATAATGTAAATGGGTTACTTGTATACAAAAGAAACTTGCTTTCTAATTAAACCATTCATGTTAAATGTTTGAAAACAATGAAATTGAAATAAATAATTCCTACCACAGAGCAAAATGTAGCCCCAACGACCAACAGGAAGAAGAAAGAATAAACCATCCTGAAATAAAGCAAAATTTGGAAAAATATTAAAAATTTACATTTTAATTTTTTTTATTTTTTAAGCGCTGTACATAGGTACATAATGTTTGAATATTTAAATTTCCTTTTACAAACCACAAGCACACCGATGTTCACCTGGATATCATTAGTTTCTCAGACTATACCCACTTTGGCCCATTTGTAAATGTTGACTCATATGACAAAAATTCTATGGTTTGTTGAGAACACTTTGACCTACAATTTCCTGGGGGATAGAAATACGTGTATAATAAATTTTAGAATATGACCAAAAACACCTTGTTGCCTGATGTATTAGCCTAGTGGACATGAATTCTATAATTTGTGAAGAGGGCTAATAATCATTATAATCATGCAAACAAATTTGTCAGCTAAATGTCCATAAGTATGTTTTTCAGACGTGTAATTTACTTTCAATACCTGACCATTTAGCCTCACTCCTAGGCCTAAGCCATGGGCCAGATGGCAATGGATTTTTGTTAAGTGCTAAGCGTGATTACTTATAAGCTTATGAGCGAAGGAGGAGATTTTAAAATATGTTATGTATATCCAACCAAGCTTAGTTTATTATACATAACATATTTGAAATTTTGAATTATGGACCCAGGGGCGATGATTTTCCCGAATTGATAAAAAGTTGAGTACTAATCCTTCAAACAGCTGGCCTGCTAGGTGTCCATTAATAAAGAACTTAAAAATATACTACCAACTACCTAGAGCCTAAACCTAGGGGTTACGAATTTCTCAATTCACAATTTAAGCTCACTGCTTATACATGACATTAGTTTGATTTCTTGATGTCGAGGGAATAAAGAAGACTTAAAAAATTTTGAAGATTGCATAAATTTTAATGGTTTTGGCCACATCCTTAAGAGCCCAGGGGAGAAGAAACCATGAAATTCACAATTTTTATTCCTCCTCACCCATATAGATTCTATATACCAAAAACATCTAAGATGTTCAAAAGTTTACGTCAGGTGGACAACGGAAACCACAGGGCGCATGACGAAAACAGATTGCAGTAGGTGTTTGAGTGACCCAGGCCTAATCACATGTAAGTTACTTTACAGTTGTAGCATTGCAGTAATATTGCATGTAGAATATTTTTTCAATTTTGATGTCGTTTGAATTATCGTGTATTTCACTTAATGTTAGAGGGCTCGGCTCAAAAATTAAATGACTTGGTATTTTAACGTAGCTAAAAAAATCCTTTAAGAATAGTTTTATATATTTACAAGAAACACATTCAGTCTTAGAAAATGAAAGTCAGTGATTAAAGGTTAATGATAAAATCATATGTGAAAAAAATGAAATCCTCAAGGAAGAAGAAAATTTCTTTAATTAAGTTTGATCATTGTCTTTTTTAGGTACAAGAGTAATGATTCCTTTTCTTTGATATGAAGAAAGAGATAATTTATGAACAATTTCTAAAACGAGGTAAGTTATTGACAAACAAGTTGATGAAACAAGAATATCAGCGGTCTCGTTTAAAGTCATCATTTCGTAAGTTCTATGGTCGATACAATGACCTTGTCAGCAAATACAATCTTTCATTGAGTCAAATGCTGACTGATTTTTTTTCATACTAATTGTTAGGCCATTATTTACACAATGAATTGTCGACGGATTTTCCCGTTATTTCCCGATAATGACAAGGAGCATGCACACGGCGGGTGTGACCGGTCGGCAGGGGATGCTCACTCCTCCATGGCACCTGATCCTACCTCTGATGTCTTAGAGGTCCGTGTTTGCTCTGCTCCTATTTTATAATGTTTAATGGACATTTGTTTGTTTTTTTGATTTTTTTTGTTTAACGTCCCTCTCGAGAATTTTTCAGTCATATGGAGACGCCACCACTTGCCGCTGGAGGGCTACAAATTTTGACCTATACTCGGCACTCAGGGCCATTGAGCAGTGAGGAATCTTTTTCGTGCCAACACCTACTGCGACACGGGACCTCGGTTTATACGGTCTCATCCGAAGGACCGGTCTCCACGTCCCGCAGTGGGATTCGAACCCGCGACTTAAGGATCAACTCCTTACTCCGCGACTCTAGAGCAAACGCTCTAACCACTGCGCCACGCGGGCGACTAATGGACATATGAGCTCGAATACTGTTCGTTATCTCCACATATTTCATTGCAATCTTTTAATTGTAAATTAATTCATAGATTTATAGCACATGGAAAACTATGATATAACTTGGGTATAAAAAAAATCACCATTATGTAAAACGTGTAAGGAAATGGACACAATAGAACACAGGTTATATTTTTGTGAAAGTACTAAAGCATTTAGAATGACTTTTTGAACTGGTGGAATAGTTTGAATTTATGTTTTATCCCAGATATTTCATGTCAAAATGTGATATTTGGAATTTGTGAAAGTACTTATAACAAGCCTCTGGATTACTGTTTATTGCTAGCAAAATAATATATTTATACCATTAGAAATGCACAAGAGAGTTGTGAATGTAAATTGAATTTTATTGTTTTTAGAAAAATGTTAAGGAAAAACTATATATCAAACTAGAGTGTTCCAAGAAACACATATGTCGCCTGCTTTGTAGCTTCATTAAAGATGTAAATAAATATAAGTGTAGTTAGCTACATGTATTTATTTACTACAAGCATGATAGTTCATGAATGCACAAAAACATCCACACATAGTATAAGACTGCGGTAGAGTCTGACAATTAAAGAAAATATGATTCCCAACCCTCAAATGAATAATTTAAGTTGAAATTATTATAAATAATTATTACTCATTTTACATGATCCATTGTGGGATCCCGATCCCGATGTATTTTCATGATATTTAAATATCAGTCTGTGTGGTAACGCTAACTGAATATCATACAGTTTCAAAGTACAGTATTTTATGAGCTCATAAACATGTATAAATACTAATTATCAACACCCCGCCTCTCAAAATTCAAAAGTCTTAAGTTAAATTAAACTGCCCGGTGTATTTTTTGCAAAATAGATCAAAGTTCAAGGTCAAGTGAATTGTAACGCTGGTATTTTTCATAATGCTTTATGACAATCAGTGCACACGCTAAATAGCATAGACTTACCCCTTAAAAGGCAAAAATATGCTGTATATTGGCAATTTTAACTTTTTTGTAAAGTAGGTCAAAGGTCAAGGTCAAGGGTCACGAGGTCGATAACCATGGTAGTCCATATCTCTTACAGTTCTTGAGATACAAGGTGTGACAGACGGACAGATGGACAGCTAGACATACAGACAGACGCCGGGTAAAGTGATCCCTAAGTGCCGCTCTGCTCTGCGGGACACAAAAATTTCTATATTGAAGTCCAAGAAAATAAGAAGATTTTTACAATGAATGGCGAGAATTGTTAGAAAATCTGGATAACTGATTTAAAGTTTATTTATACATGATTAAAGCTGAACAAGACTCGTAAATAGGCAAACGCCATTTCTAAATTACTATCTACGATATCAGCACCAGGGTATACTCCTCGCATTCGTTACACCTGACTGCTTTATTGTCACGGGTATCGGCGTGGCATGGCGACCCGCTTGTTCGTGCTGGTTATCTTGCATTACCATTGTTCACATTTTATTTCTGTTACGTGTATTTGTGTTTGTTTGTATACTGCACTGACCTGTGCAACTATTGTAAGTTTCTTTGATATCTTACTTCCCTGCATAAGAAGAAGTATACAGTTATTTTTCGTCGCTACCGAGTGCTGTATAGTATACGTCCGTCTACACAGGTGATGACTGATTACACTGAACAGTGTCAGCCGCTTTATATAGGAGTCCTCAGATATAGCGAGAATCCGATCAAAAATGGCGGACATATTCCTTTTACGAATCGTGTTCAGCTTTAAGCCCAAAAACGTATTCAACTATTAGACTTGTATACTATATAAGATAATTTTAAGCAATATTGATTATATATTCCTTCTGCAATTTTACATGTATGCATTTTATCTTAATTTGTAAAATGTAAAAGCCAATTAAAAAGTTACTTATTACCTAGAAAATTTGCAGATTATAGCAAAAGATGGTGTGACTTGATAAACGTTTTATTTAAGGACTGTTTGTCCTCTACTTTTATGTATGGCATTATATAGATTTCGACTGAAGTCTATATTGTTAAATAAACCTGGGATCAAAAACTTAAACTTACAAAGTGTTTACATTAACAGTTAAAGCTTACAAAACATTTCACTATATTCAGAAAAAAAGGTTTTTTCATAGGCTATTATGACCTTGACTTTTCCTTTGAGAAAAGGGTGAAGATAACGAATGGTGCTCGATCTAAAAAATCTACTAACAAACAAATTTGTGAACAGGTCATAAAAACGGATCTCCAAAAATTCCAGAGGTGGGGTCAGGTGCCTAGGAGTAAGCATCCCCTGTTGACCGGTGTCGCATAATATTTGGTCCGCCTCGTTTAAAGGTCCGGGGGGACCTAATACGATAACATATAAGGTCCGGCCTGCCTCTATAATAAAAGGTCCGCCTTCGGTTTAATATGCAGATTTTTCTCCTTTATTGATTCAAAATTAATTTGCTTAATTAATCTTTTTAAATTATTTAAGGTATAGTTGTCATAATAGTGTCCCTCCCAGCAAAATGGAGTTCCAGGGACGTACATGTACATTGTATGCATTGATCAGGTAGACGGAACATACCGGTCATTGTCATTGGTCAAGGACATTGTATTGGGAGATGTAAACACAATATGCAGGCGATAGCGGGAAATTACTATATAAATAAACTAAAGTTGACGATATAAAAGCTGAAGTCATCTCGTGTGTCATACAGTTTAGTTGTTAGTTGGCCCTTATCGTCTATAGTCAGTAAAACATCCAAATATGAAACAGATGTGGCAGACTCTACGGTGTCTTATATTTCAAGTTCACTGGTATATATATCGAGTCGACATATGAATGGAAGTAACTATTGTTAATTGATAATACATCGTCGATTTTTCTAAATTTCAAA